TGTATTTTTTATGATTTTCATGCAAAATTAATCGTTTTCATAAAAAATAATTTGATTTTTAACTAAGAATTTACAAAAAAATAAAAAATAATGTCCTTTTCATCATCAAAAATGACATTTTTGTACATAATTCTCAGGTGGGTATAGTCGGTTAGGTTTGCAACCAACTCGTGGGACTCTACTTACGTCGCTAGATATGATAGCAGAAGATAGATATAATTACTATAGAATAGTTTTTTTACTCATTAATTAAGATATGATACAAATTTAAAAAAAATATATTTGAATTTTTGAAAACCTGTATGAAAATGAAAAGGAACTCTATTTTGTAGCTGTTAGAGAGATACGTAAAGGTAAGATTGGAGGAATGTGACTTGAAACTGGTTATCTCAATAAGATAAGTATTCGTTAAGTCGACATCCATTCTTTTAGCTTTCAAAGACTTCTGTTTCCTAAAATTTTTAATATGTAATAATAATACTAAAATACTAAATTACACTATATCATATAACAACGGTAAGAAAAATCTTCAATAGATTTAACAAGAAGAAAAAATTTAGATAAAAATCATTTTAATTACTTTTAAATCCTATAATTCAAACGTCGTTCTATGGCAGTTCGATAATTGATGATAGTTTTACAAAATTGTTCTTTATAAAACTTGGATGGTAATATAAATACAACAAATGTAAGCATAGGTGGAATAAATGAAATAGAATATCCAATAAGAAATAGCCATGCATCATTTGTTGATTTCATACATTTTGATGCAAACAAAATGATTAAACGTCGTAATCCAAGAAGAATTAAAAGAACAGGAGCAGTAAATAAATGTTTATACTGTTGAATTTGTTGTTTTAAAACTTCTCTATAATTTTGATTCATTCGAACATTTGATTGTTGACGAAATTTTTTTGTCATGAGAATAATAGCTGATATTAGATTAGTGATAAATGGAACCAAAAAGTGAAATGCATGGGTGTGGGTGTTGGTGTGGATGTGTGGGTGTGGGTGTGAATGAGTGTGGGTGGTGTGGGTGTGGATGTGGATGTGGGTGTGGGTGGGTGTGGATGTGAGGAAGAACTACATCCACACCCATCACACCCACACCCAAACACACACCCAAACCCACACCCAAACCCACACCCACACCCAAACCCACACTCACACCCACACCCATAGAAACGTTATTACGTAATAGATATATTATTATGTAAGAAGAACAGAAAAGATCAAGGTCAATATCAATGTTTATTTGACCTTGAGAGAACAGAAACGAATGTATAGTAATGAGATGAAAGAAAGAAAGAACGAAAGAAATACATATAACAGAAAGAGAAGGAAAGCAAACATATATATAGTTCGTAAGGAAGGATAAATCTTTAACAATATCAAAATAATCGAGAGACTGTTCTCTTTCAAAAGACCTATTATTCGAGTCATCATGCAGCATGATAAAAAAACACAGAAGTCTATTGGAACAGTACCTCAGACATGCAGAACTTATGACCCAATCCAATACAAACATGGAATTGAACTATTGCTAGCAATACGAGCGAAGATTGTCGAAAACAGGGGCGATTGTATCGTTGATTGATATTGTGTATCTTTGTTGAAAAAAAAAATTTATTGTTGAACCAGAAAAAAACGTGCAGAACTTATTTACCAATGGAATATAACATCGTCATTCCTCAATGAAATTCGAAAATTTTTTGCGAAAATTATCAGCGAAAAAAGCTCTACAAAGTCTGATACGAAAGAAAATTTTCTCAATACTTTGTGATTTTTCGATTCCCTACTCATAGAACTGTCCTGCAATATTTTCACAGTAAAAAATATTGCAAAACTCGAGTATGAAAATTTATGTATTTCAATGTTGTCGCGCATTCCAACACTAGTTTTAGCTAGAGAGCTGAAACTTTCAGAAATAAAAGATCTTCATTAGATATATATATATATATGATAAAAATTTCAGCCCTCTACGTCGAGAAAAAGTATGAAAAATATCATTAACAATTTATCGTCAGTTGTTATGAAACACCCGTTATATAATATCTGCATAACTAACTTTATTTAGTTTTCGGTGTTCTATTTCAGGCTATATTGGACAAACAATTTGATTGGTTCGATGTCGCACTAATGGAGTCAACGTTTTCGGTACACTTTTTAGTGGAAATCGGAGTCGAAAGAAGTCAACAATGGCTAATTATTTCACAAAACAATATTAGAGGTTAAAATTTGGGTTCAATAATTTCAGAAGTTGGTCTTTCGAATGCACATGAAAAAGAACAATAAAAAATGTGATAAGTGCTTCGTGTACTCGATTGATTAATGGGTTCTCTCTTAATAATAGAAGAATAAAAGGGCAGCGGTTCTTTTCAGTATAAAGTTCCTTTTTCCTGTCTCGAAAGCTTTTTCTAGTGAATTTTATTTCAATAACTTCAGTTCAACAACAGAATATAGTATTCTTTTAACCACCACAAGGATATTTTCCATTACAGCCAAGACCTCCAACTCCATCGCAGCCATAAACAACAAATGTTTGCTCTTGATATTGCCATTCATAACAACCGCTCATACCTTCAATTTCATATTCACAACAACCATATCCTGAAAATTTCATATCAACACGTTGTGGTTTATTCCAATTCTCCTTTGTAAAAACAACTTTTGGATTGCCATTAACTGTGAATTTTGCACATTCTGTACCATTATAATACCAACTTGGTTTTGGTCTAAAAGTGACTGTTACTTCATCACCCAGTGAATGAACAGGCGGTGTTTGTAATGTCATGGTGAAATTATCAAAACCACCATCTGGTGTAACAACAAAACCACGTACTGGTGATATTGAATAACCTAAGCCATGAAAAAACATTAGTAAAAGACGTACGATGAATAAAATATAAAATTACCGTTATTAGCATTACCACATGCTGATGGCCATTGTGCAGGCAAATTAAACAGTGGTTCAAATTTCGATGGGATGCCATTTATAAATGATAAGTAAATGACTGATGTATATCTACGAAATTGAGAAGAAATACATTTTTGGTTAGAGGCCGATGAGAGGGTTCAAATTTTTCAGCTCGATTATAGGGCCTGAAATGCTAACTCCGATAAAAACGGTTGATAAGTGAATCATCTAAGAAAAATCAAAGCATTGTTTCTACAGCAAGTTTGTAGGTCCGACTAATGTCACTTGCTATGAAAAAACCCTGATAAAACAAACCGGGAAGGAATTTGGCATTTTGAGTCCAATCTTTCGATCAACAATATTTTTCTGGCATAAAAAATATTAACTATTTCAAAACTGTTCTTATAGTCTCCAAAAAAACAACACAAGTTACATTTTCTGATGCCTTGAAACTATTCTAGCCGACATGTTTCTTAGTCAAAAATTGGAGATGTCAGTTTCTGGTTTCTGTTTGCAAAAACAAGGTACCCCACGAGTTTCGGAGAGTCGTCATACACTGAATTTTCAATTTCTTGAAATTCGAAAATCATTTCGATGTCACCACAGGTTATCAAGGATAAACATAGACATATCAATGCGCTCAGGCATGCACGAAAACAGTTTTTAACATGAGTTATCGTTTTCTGAAAGCAGAAACTCTATAAAGAGAAACTATGACATCCATTGTCAGAAATGTAGTCGCTGTACTCCTGACTAACGAAATTTGATTTCATTCATCAATTTTTGTAAATGCTCCGAGATGGCTGAGCTCTGATCCACCTGAAAGACTAAATTTCTCAACTGGATCCCAAGTTGGATAATCACTTACTCATCAGTATCATAAAAGGGAGCTGCCGCTCTTGCTTGTATTGTTTTAGCTGGTGTGCCATCATTGGTTTCAAAGTAACTTAAACATGGTACTTTACCAATACCACTTGTTTTTAAATCACATATATCAGGTGAATCAAATCTCTATAGATCAAAAACAATGTCTGACCCTGAAAGAATGATGTATTTGTTAAAGAGTCTTACAAGTGCATTGATTTGTAACTCTGGAATCCATTCAACACCTTTATAAACTAAATTATTGGGTAATGGAAACCATGGTTTCATATCAATATCACCGTCAGCAGTTATCCATGAAGATGGAAATGCACCAAAATCTTTTATTGGAAAAGTATTATACCAACAGTTACCCTTAACAAAAACCAAAGTTGCTTTTATTTTTTGAAAATTGAAAGCTTACCTTAGTCAATTCTGGATAATCAGGATTGAAATTAAACAATGTATAACCTTCTGCTGCCGGCTAAAACAAAGAAGAAAATTACCTGATTTATGGGTACCTCTTGAATTAATTTTGAAAGAGAACAAATAGCAACCTACTAGTTTTCTGTTTTAATAAAAGACTGTTTAGGATATCGAACTGTAACAAGTCTCCGAAAAACACGACATATACTGGCTTCATCGTTTTCTATACGCTTAGTGTTACTTACCGATCCTTGTTCAGCTCCATTTGGTTCATATTGTATCATGTATGTTTCATTTTGTTTAGCTCTCCAACCTTTTATATCAAATCGTGCTCGCTGATTAATGAAATCATAAACTAATTGTTCTGGTGCACCAGAATCTTTCCAATGTAAATAGGATGTCTGATTTAATATGGCAACAAATTGTTTTGGAAAACCTTTTGGTTTTTGTTCAGAATGAGATTGAGAGTGTTGAATAAGAAGAATGGTTAAAGTAATAACGACAAGAAAAACGTGCTGTTGCATATTTACTGTGTTTTGGGAGGCGTGAGAAATGATTTTACCGATAATTAAAAGGATTAACATGCATTTATATAGGCTTTGTAAGAGAGTTGGCGTACAAAAAGAGAATAGCCTTGAATATTATTGTGCTTTTTTTCATTTGTCATGATGAGATGTGTGGATAGGCACACTAGTGCTGCTATATTTGGCCTATGCACAGTAGTTTTTGAAAGAAAGAGAATAGCCTTAAATATTACTGTGCTTATCTTTTTTTCCATTTGTCATAGTGAGACTTCTGCACAGGTATGACACTGCTAATGTATCTGACTCATTCATAGAAAGTTTTGAATGCTTGATCATCATGACAAAAATGTCGAAATCTTAAATGACATCGGTATGGTATATTATATACTATTACTTCGATTCTTTAACATTGTCACACTATTCGAGTTTAAACTATTTTTACTAATTAGTTGAAAGCAATAGAGCTGATATCAGAGATTGTTCAAACATTATTTTGTAGATCTTCTCAGATTTGCGGAACTCCAAGGAAAAAACACAATATACAAAAGGCTTGTATCATATTGTAGCTGTTTTTGCTTTGGTTCCAGTTGTATTACCTAGCGCAACAACTATTTCGCTTGTTGATGGTGGTGAACGAGGGCGCAATTAGGGTTTAATCATTAGGGAGATACGAAAATTTTCGAGTTAGAAAGGCATTTTTCTTCTTCCGAGAGCTGAAAAGTGAGATCCAATTCAAGTAATAAGGTGATATCGAACAACAAGGAAAATAAAACTTCATCACTTGAACGAAAATGATTCGCGCTAGCAATCTTATGGTCTTCTACCATAATTCAGAAATTAGAACGTGGCCATTCTCGAAATTGAATTGTCATTGCTGATATCTACACAACAAAGACAGGAAACATTAATAACTGATTGCAATTCACAATGGACGAATAATAATAAAAATCAAGTCGAAAAAAGTGATGACCAAGGATTGAAAGAAAATCAAAGTCCATCCACAGCGCCTGGTGGTGGTAATATAAATAGAGAATTTCTCACAATCGATACATCTTCCCGCAAGGATCGAGTATCGATGAATAAAATAAAAAAGAAAACAGAACATAAGGGTGGATGTTGGTGTGGGATGTGGGATGTGGGGTGTGTGGGTGGGTGTGGGTGTCGGTGTCGGTGTCGGTATGGGTGTG